TAGCCATACTTCCGTAGGGCAGCCTGGCCTAGCCCATTACCCATTACCCACAAGCTCCGGGCATGCGCATACAGGAAACAGTGGACCTGGCTGCAGCACAGTGCCCACACTTTGCTGAGCCAAACGCTGGCTGTAAACACCTTAGGGCGCCAGAACCATCAAGGTTTTTTCAATCTCAGAAAGATCTGAAATGTTTGTTTAAGCGCCTGTCAAACAGTAACTAGAAGTAGCTTACCAGGCAATCTATTCTTACCTTCACCTTCCTCAGCCAAGATCAAAGGCAAAGAGAGTATGTGACAAGCAGAGAACACACACTGGAAGTGACCCCAAATCCTAGGGTGTAACATAACATTTCTTTTCACACAAAGAGTCCCCAGGACCCCTTGTCCAGTCCAGCAGACAATGGAGACACCGGTACAGGTTTTGTAGTTTCTGGACAGCACAGATGAGGGCTGACAGGGAAAACCAACAGCGAGGCCCAGGTTCCAGGTGCAGCTTGGTCACCAACAACGTGTGACCTCGGGCGCACCAGCTCTCCCCTCCAGGCCTAGGGGCCAGGCCCTCATGTGTAAGATGAGGCAGTAAACCTGGATGACTGCTTGTTGCCAGAGATTAGGACTGCGGCATTTGCACCTAGCGTACAGAAGATGACAAGCAGACACAGAGAGCTATTTCTGAAAACTGAGAAGCAGTGGAGTCTAGAAGGAACCACGTTGAAAGGAAATTAGGTACAGACCCTTGTAGACACGAAAGGAGAAAGGGAAACCCTGACACGGTGGCATGCACCTGTAATCCAGCACTCTTGGAGGCTGCCGCAGGAGGATCACAAGTTCTAACCCACCCCTGAGCAACTTAGTGAGAACATGTCACACAGTAAAACATGGAAAAAAAAAAAAAGGCTGGGGATGTAGCTCGGTGCAAAGGCCCTGGGCTCAATCCCCAGTACCACAAAAAAAGGAAGGAAGGATGGTAGGTAGCAGGAGGTGGGGAGCAGAATCCCAACACTGTCTTCACAAAAGTAGAAAGATGGAAATCCTTGGGCCCCACTCAAGAACCATGCCTCTGGGAACATCCAGTGGGTGATACAGAGGGAGGAGTGGGGAACCTTGTCCTTGCCACAGTGTTACACACACACACACACACACACACACACACTTACACACACACACACACAAGAGAGGCTCTTACAGGGAACAAGCAACTCCTCCAAGGATGGCTGCAGCACGACCCAGAGGGCACTAAAGACAGAACCTCCCGCTCCCTCGGCAGCCCTCTTTGTTTCCCCCCAAAACAGAAGCAATCAGATGTAAGCACAAATTCCCAGCCCCATGTCTCAGACCCTCCCTCAGCCTCACCTCCCACCCTAACTCTGCCCCAAGAGGAACTTGCCTCTCCTATTTTTTCTTCTGCTTTCATCTCTCTATCACAAAGGCCTTTCCCCTCAAACCTACAAGCCCAGTCCCAGCTCTCCTGCCCCAAACACAGCCTCCTTTTGACTTTGCCTCTCCTTCAAGGTCACTGACTCCTAAAGATGGTGCACTTGTCTCTCCCGTTCCCCCAGTCGCCCTCTGTCACATCTGATAGCTCAAGCCAGTGGGTGTCCTCAGCCTGACTCCACCACCACCCTGCACAGGGTTTCCTGCCAGCCCCACCCTCCCAGAACTCTCCCTCCTCTCCGGCCTCCTGTCCACAGCTTGCTTCACCAGCCCGTTCCTGCACCTGCTCCACAGCGTGCCAACCCAGGCACACCAAGGACCCTCCAGCCTCTCTGCTATGTGCGCTGTCTGCTGCCGTAGCCACTGCCTTCCTATTTGCAGGCTACATAGGCCCTCTCATCCACTTAAACAATTTCAGGAACCAAGTGACACACATCTGTATCACAAGGCCCCACAGAAGTCCCGCAGGCAACCACATGGGCACGTAAGGAACCCTGGGCGGTGATGGAGCTGTTCTACACCTTGACTGTAGTGGTTACATGACTATATGCGTCTGTCCAACTGTGCAGAACTGCACACTAAAAAGGGTGAATTTACATGGAAATTACATCTTAATTTTAAAAAGAACAGAAAAAATACTAATGTCTCATGTCTAATACTCATGCCTAATACAAACATCACCATCTTCTCCCAAATCAGCTCCTCCTTCCCCTGTACTCTCTATTTTCATTAATGCACCATCACCCAGCTCTTTCCTCCAACTAGAAACCTCACCCGTCTCCCTGCACACACAGGAGTCTGTGCCTCAAGTCAGACTCCGCATCTGTCCCCCCGCACCTGGGACCCAGGCCACCCGCACTTCTCACAAGCTGCCTCCTCGCCCCACCCTCCCCACATGTGCAGTTCCAGAAGGAACAGGACCCCCGAGCTCTACCATCCCCCTGCTTTCCTTCCCACTGAGTCTCCCCAGTTCTTGACCGTTGTCTAACAGGAATGCTAGAACTATTTCCAGTTGTCAACTCAAGAAAATGCTCTATCTAAATATTGCTGTCTAATTTTGTGCACAGCTCTTGTTTCAACTGACAAAGATAATGACTCAGTGTCCATGGCTCTTGATGGAAAATTATCCTGCCAAGTTTTGAGCTTCCCAATAACAGACTTCTCCAAACTTCTCTTTGAGAAAGGAGAAGTAACCTCCCTTCCTGGTCCTTTTCTATTAGAAACAAAGGGCACCCCAAAGACCCCCTAGTTGACCAAGGAGTGTCACAGGAAAATTCTGATATATCCTCAAAGGACTGACTAAAAATTAATTAGAGATAGAAATTCACAGTAGGGGCTTGGGATCTTTTTCCATGTACAGTAAGCATAGTTTTCCAGCTTTTCTGCCTGCCCATCAGTTTGGGACCTAAAAGTCAGGGCATAAATTCTGTGTTACACTGAAGGCACAGAAGCATCTTTCTGTGCACAAAAAGCAATAGTTTGCTGTCTTTGACACTGAAGCTTCAAGTAACTGTTTAAAAAAATGCCATGGGGCTGGGGATTTAGCTCAGCGGCAAAAGCGTCTGCCTGGCAAGTGCAAGGTCGTGAGTTCGGTTCCCGGTACCGGAGAAAAACCAAAACCAAAAAAACAAAACAACAACAACAAAAAAAAAAATGCCATAAATGTATGTGTGCTCATGTTGCACTATTATACTCCTGGCAGGATAGACAGATATATACATCCAAAGTACACTTGAAATGCAGCCATTCACTTCCTACAGACACAGGTCTAGCCTCTCCTACATCACAAGACAGAAATGTCTGAGCAAAAAGAGAGGATGAGCAAAGCACCGCCTTGGAGTAGTCATTTGTGGATACGTCACTTGGCTTCTAGGGCATTCAGGGTGCTCATATTTGTGACTATTAATAAGTGGGTCCATCAAGTTGTTTCATGTGCATACCCCCACACTCCTGCAATATCCCCAGGGATGGAAACTACCAGTCTCCCATTCCTCAGCACTCCTGGACCAGCCTATCACTGCCCTGCACCCAACAGGCACAAAAAATACCAATGGGTCTCTACCTCTAACTCTCTGGCGACAGGTTTCACCTCTGCCACCCAGTTCACAGGTGGGGTCTTCTTTAAAACCCTTTCGACTTGGCTTCTATCAGTGTGCATAACACACTAGGCTCTCCTCAAGCCTCTCAGCTACTCATAGGCAGGTCTCAGAGCGGTCCCTGGCAACATGGGATGACCCTTTTTAAAGTCTAACTTGGGGTTCTAAACCAAGAGCAATTTTGCCCTCAAAGGAACATACAGTAAATGCCTAGAGGCAATTTTGATGGTCATAACTGGTGGGACAGAGGGGCTACCTGTCAAGTGAAGGACTCTGCTACACATCCTATAATGCACAGGACAGGCCCCCCGCAACAAAGAATTGTGGACCCCAAATGTCAATAGTCTGGAGGTTTTGAAACACTATCTTAGGCACGCATTGGCGCTGAGGGAGGTGCCCAGACTGCCTAGTTAACTTTTCTTTTGAGTCATCTATGATCAGGCCAAAAACTGTAGAAACACTGCTTGCACTGCTTGCCAGGCTGAACATAACACCCCAAACTGGTGCCCGCATCTTAAGAACGCTGCTTCTGTGACCCACCAGCCTCCATCCCCTCTTCTCAGGAGAGGGGCCTTCCTCCACAACAGTCTCGCACAGCCGTCCCACCAAGATCACCCATCCACCCACAGCGTGACAACAGGTGGGCTGGCATCTACACGTGTTCAAATCCTTCGGCATGGTGGTAAGCCCGGCACGTCCAGCTTCTGAGTCTTGTCCTGCAGACCTAGGGCCCGAATGAATGCGGACCGATTTTCCAACGGGCCGCGAGCCCAACCCAAGCTGGAAGGCTGCACACAAGCCTCTCGCCCTCGGGGAAGGAGACATCTCAGCCACAGGGAGGGTCCCGCCGCACTCCCGTCCCGCAGCACTCCCACCCGCACAGGGGTCGCGCTCCCCCGGGCTCGGCACAGACCGCGGTGCACAGGGTGAGGGCAAGCCAGCGAGAGGCTCCGGGTCAGGGGGTTTGGCCCACACCGCTCACAGGACCGCCAGGGTCTGAAATAGGAAGCAGTGCCACGGAGAGGGAAAGGGAAAGGGAAGGAAGGTCCGAGAAGGGTCCCTTTCCCAAGGTCACCCTTCCACCTGCGAAACCCAACAGGCCAAAGTTTTGCCACAGACCCGCAGCCCAGGGCAGCCGGGCCGGCCACACCCTGCGGGGCGCTCTGGAACCCTAACCCGCCATCCCGAGAACGCGGGGCAGGAGCGCTGCACTGGCGACCACGTGGTCCGGGCAGCGGCCGGGGGGCACCGGGGCTGCGGGCGCTTCCCGAGCCCGCGGCAGGCGGTGGGTCCCCCTCAGGGCCCGCGGGAGCAGAAACTGGCGGCCCCAAGCCGCGCTGTCACTGGAGTCGGCAAGAAAGACCCTGCCGGCGGTGGGGCGAACCACGGCAGCGGCCGGGCGACGCACGCGCACGCGCTCGCGCCGGGCCGGCGGGGCACAGGCGGGAGCAGGCGGGGGCAGGCTTACCCGGCCGCAGGAAGCGGGAGTCCTCGGTCACCTTCGCGCGCCCTCCGCGCGCTGCCACACAGCTGGCGCCCTGCACGCGCTCGGCTGTGTTTACCAACTCGCCCGGGACGGGGGAGGCCCCGCGCCCGCTGTCCCCGCCCCTCTACCCCTCCCATTGGCCACCAAGCCGTCGCCCGCCCAACGCCGCGCGACGCAGGGGAGCGTGCTCGGCCCGTGCGCTCAGCCTTCAGCCAATCAGATTCCACGGCGGAGAGAGAGGAGCCAATGGAAGGCCGCTGTAGCGAGAGAAGACCCTGACGTTTTCCCTTTTCTCACCTGCCCGCTGCCCTTTTCCAGGGTTAGGGAAGCGGTGTTCTTGGCCCGCGTTCGAGCGCCTTTAGGCGTGACAGCAGTGATCGGCCACGTGCGCGCCTTCTCTCCACTGCGGTTCTCCCGGCCTCCGAAAGGGCCTCTGGTGGAAGGAGCACACGATACCGCTGGGGGCCGGGGTGGGGTGCACCGAGGGCTTTGACAGGCGAGGCCTGCTTGTAGTTCTGCGCAATATGAACAGGGCTCCTTCCTTTTTCTTTCCCGTATTTTTGCACAAAAAGCACTCGGAGAGGGCGAAAGCGTGGCGCCGCGGAGACAGATCGCATTTACACCTCCGGCTCACCGGACCCTCCCACTTTATCTTTCCCCCTCCCGGAGCCTGGTGTGTTTGCTCCGTGTGTTTGTGTGGATGCCACCCTGAAGGCGGCCTCCCGTGTCCGCGCCGCCAGGCGGGGACAGAGCTCGGGCCTAGGGCGCTGGTGCAGCGTCGTCCCGCCAGAGGTGACAGCCGGCAGAGGGAACGGACCTGAACCAGAGCGAATACAGTAGGCGCAGGCCCAGCCCGTGCTTGGCTCCCTCTTGCCACACAGGAGGAAGGATCCACCTGCAGGCCTCCCAAGGGTGTCCACTGCCTGCTCGTGTGCTAACCTTCTTTACTGCCTGCAGCCGGCTCAGCCTCGTCCGGCAATCTCCGCTCTATGACTCCTAGCAACCGATCTGGAGTTCTGTCCAGCAGTAATTCTGTTGGAAAACAGAAGCATAGGAACACTTCAGTGACTTTGGTTTTGTTTGTTTTGTTTTGCAGTACTAGAGATTTAACCCAGGGCCTTCGTACTGAGCAATACCTCTCTTTTATTTTGAGCCAGGGTCTCACTACGTGGCTCAGTTGGGTAGGTCCGGCTCCAACCTGCCATCCTCCCGCCTCAGTCGCCCAGAGTGCTGGGATTACAAGCATGTACCGCCACACCCAGCTTGTGAGTTTTTTCATAAAAACATTCCAACCGAAGGGATGGCTACTTACCCTAGGACTTTTTCCTCTTGTTTATTAACATTTAACTGTTTTGAAAGTCATTTTAATCTTTATACTTGGAAAAATATAAAGGTGGTGGGAGTAGTAGTTTATTAACATGAAGTCAGAAGTGAACCTACGCTCATACTTTCACACTGGCCACTTGAAGCTTGGCTTCCCAGAGGTCTTAGGTGAACTTGTCCATCTGTGATCAGGGAAGAATAACTCGGAGCTTGTGTGCTTTGGGGTGAACACAGCCCTACCCGAGTCAGGCTCCCTCCTGAGGTAGAGACCCTGCTTCCAAGGCGACAGAGATAGCGCTTTGCTGGCTTCTCAGGCTGGGTACCTGGGTCGTGGTGGGTGCTCCACTCTGAACGTTCACACACCCTCCGCACAGTCCAGATTCTGCCTCCCCACTCTTCAGTCTACATAGAAAATAAATTTTAAAGGAGAATTAAAAGGTCACTTTGACTGACATTTCAAGTAATTACCCCAAACACTGCCAAGCCACGCCAGATGCTCCCGAGCCAGGCCGGCCAGACCTCCAGGAGTGCCTGTAGCTGTCCCTTATCCTGCCTGCAGCGTTCCAACCCTCCCAGCCCAGGAGCCGCCCAGGCGCACCCCTTGCTGAATCTGACTGCTGAAGGATCAGGGTGTGATTTCCGACAGCTCCTGCTTCTGTTGCCCGACGTGGAGAGAGGATGTGGTGCTTTGATCCTGAAAATGGGAGAGAACTGCTGGGCTGGTTCTATTCTGCTAGCAATGCTAGGGCCAGTTTTGCTCCTAAAGTACCTAAGGAGGAGCATATCCAGCCACCACGCACTAACCTATCTTCAGAGATCAGCAGTCTAGGTTACTAGAGAAATGCCCCTCACTCTGTGCAAAGAAGGTGCCCCCCTCCGATTAATATGATTTTGACACAAATCCTCCTTGAAACAGTCATTTGACTTGACCTTTATAATGTGGGACATTATACATTCTCTGCTTCTCCAAGAAGTGAATCATTTCTCCCATTGCTCAGACTGAGAGAGCCTTGGCCGCCGTACGTGACCTGTCTCTCATCCTTCACATCAAACCATGAGCAAAGTCTTCCACTTCATCTTCAGAAAACCCCTTGAGTCAGCAAATGTTGCCTCCACATCACTTCTGCCCTAGGCTCAGCCAGCGTCATCTGTCACCTGAATCCTTTCAACAGCTCACTAACAGGGTTTCCACACATCTTCCTACAGTGATTCTTTGTTGTTTGTTTTAAAACAAAAGACAGGTCATGTCACTTCTAAACTCCTACCCTGCCTCACTCGGAATAAAATCCCAAATCCACGTACGGCTCCACATACATGCAGCGTGACCATACCACCCCCCCAGGGACCTTTGGGTGTTATTTTCGACTGTGCTCTCCCTCTCTCACATTAATCCAAAAGAAAAAAGAAAAACCTCCTCCCTGTAGTCTGACACACCAACAACAGGCCCTGCTCAGACACTTTGTACTTGCTCTTCGCTCTGCCTCAAACACCCTTCCCACAGAGAGCCTCTGGGCGCACACATGCTTTGTGGGGGACCTCTCTCAAGGCATCACCTTACTGTCCTACTGAAACAGGACCCGTGCTCTCTCTTCATCTGGTCTGAAGAGGAATCCCTACCACTTTTCCTGCTATACTTTTCTTCCTAGTACTTTTTATTACCTACCATGTCTAATTATTTGTTTTTTAATCATCTGTCTCTACAAACTGTAATATAAGTTTCATGAGAGTAAAAACTGTTTCTTTGGTTCACCCTACAGCCCTAGCACCTAGAACAGTCCCTGCCAAGCTGCAAATGCTCGATAAATATTTAATGTGAACATGGAAAATGGAGACAGATGGTCTGGGTTAGAATCCCAGCTCCGCTAGTTACTATGTGATCCTAGACTGGTTTCTTAAACTTTCTGTGCCTCAGTTTCCTCCTCTGTAAATTGAATAATAGTAGTATCTGTGCCTAATATGATTGTTGAGAGTGAAATGAATCCATATGTGCAAAATGCTTAAACTAGTGTCTATCACAAAGCATACATCATAAAATTGCAGTTATTTTTGTTTACTAAATGAATGATAAACCCAACATGATAATACATATCATGTATCCAGCAAAATCTTATGTCGATATTCATATATTGTTTTTTTGGGGTTTTTTTTTTTTTTTTTTTTGTTTTTTCTCCGGTACCGGGAACCGAACTCACGACCTTGCGCTTGCCAGGCAGGCGCTTTGCCGCTGAGCTAAATCCCCAGCCCCCGATATTCATATATTGCTAAAAATTTCCCCATACATCATCCAAGAAACTTGCTGAAATTGAAGTTTAAAGGACCAATATTTTCTGTAATTTTACCTCGTTCATTAGCTATTATACTCCAAGTGCTTCATGATCTTGATGTTACTACCTCTAAGATACAAGGTATATGGGATTCTCACATTTTGCACACAAAAATCAACTACCTTAACAATTTCATCCTTTATTTGACTTTTACCACTTGATTAAATGATAACGCAAAGTGGAGTGCATAATACTTGCCTAATCAATTTATGTGTGCTCTTTTCTCTTTAATGCTGAACTCCAAAGTCAACCACTCAACTTTCTATAGAAGTTGATCAGTCATAATTTTCAGACATGGAAAAAGAATCCTAAGGCTCATTCATAGAAGTACAATTCTCAAAGAGAGAGGGGAGGTGAAGGGAATGGAAAAAAGAATTAAGGAAAGTTATACATATGTACCACCCCCCAGAATAATCATTATGTACTGCAAACACATGCCAATAAAAATTAAAATTTAACCAGAAAAGAAACATTTAATTCTTGTGTTCCACGTTACCTAGTTATGTACTATATCAGTGTTCTTTTTGAGCCCTAGGTCCTTTGGGGTATTAACATGAGATTTTCAATAAAAAGCAGTTACAACTGCGTGATGGTCAAAACCAACAGTGCACGAAGAGTTTCCAAGCAAGAGGATGCTTCAGGGAAAATCACGGCCTGGATACCTGCTCTCCATGGGTCCCTGAGTGCCCACCCTACACCCTTGGGGCTCTTAGAGGGCTCTGTCACTATAGGAAAGAATTGTTTATTCCTTTATGTATTTGACTATAATAAAGGAGGAACTAAGACAGGCGGTAGAGCACCTGCACGGCATGCACAAGGCCCTGGATTCCATCCCCAGTGCTACAAAACACAGAAGAAAAAATGGATTTCTTAATTGCATTTCCCAAAACACCCTCACAAACCACTGTTTTGGAAATGCTGGATTAATATAAGTGATCACAAGGCTCCCTCTTCCCCCAAAAATTTTTTCCTAGTTTTAAAAAAGCCTTTGGACGCTTTAACTCATTGATTTCAAACTATCAATAGGTAGCACATTCATTTGATTATTTAAAAATCTGCTTTGAAAAGGATTGCAATGGAAAGTTCCCTCTCAGCTCCTTCCATTTCCCACTCATTTTGCAGTCTCAGTGTCCCACACCTCCTACAAATACACGTCACTGTTATTGTCTCTTGTCTCTTTTCAAAGTGTCTTTGTACATATACAAGCAAATGCAAACCTAGGCTCATATTTTATACCAGTGGCCATACTATCCACGCTCTTCCCTTTTCCGCATCTAACAATGTAAGCTTGATGTTCTTTCTAAATCCCTGCAGAGAGCATCCTGGTTCTTTGTCAGCATTACCTTACATGGAGGCACCATAATTTGCTTACGCAGTGTCCTGTCATACACACTGTCTCTGTTCTTTTGCTATTACCAACAGGGCTGCAGTGAGTAATCCAGTTTTCAAAATGTGACTAATTGGCTCTAAGCAGGGTTAGTTTGCTGCTTGGAGACAGGTGCCAGAGTTGAATCCAAAGTGCTTTTGTTGTGAGCAGAGGCCTGACACTCACACACGACTCACTGGCTCCAGGCTGGGTCGTGCCCCACCCCCAACACTCCGTGGTGAAGCGCAAGGCGAACCGATGGTGTGTGGGCTCAGGAGGGCACCCTCACAGGCTACAATCTGAAAGTCACCAGACTTGGGAAAATCCAGCCCAGTCCTGCTAAGAGAATGACTTAAAGGAATTCCAAATCCTGTTGATCCAAGGCAAGACTAATGACTGTAATTAGCCGACTGCACAGTTAGAAGTGATTAAGCACATTACAGAAGAGGCTCTGCTCCCCACACTGGAAACATCCCCGCCAGACCCATTAACAAGATGTGCTGCTTTTCTCTCCACTTAATCCTGATGCTTGGAGCAAGTGTGTGCCTTCTTGGGAGCCTGTTCTTCCCTCTGAGATTGGTTTCAAAATGCGGACATTCGCCAGGTGTGTGGTAATCATTGGTTTTATTTTCCTATGTTTAAATTAAAACGTAATTTATATACAGTAAAATGCAAAGATCAAGTTTACAGTCCATAAATTGTTAAGAATGTAAATGTCAAGTAACCAAAATCTTCATAAAATATAAAAAAGTTGGACTGGGGGGTGTAGCTCCAAGGCAGAGAGCTTACCTAGGATATGCAATACTCTGGTTCAATTTCCAGCACTGCAAAGAAAAAATTTTTATTCTTCCAGAGAGTTCCTTTCTGTCCCTCTTTCTAACCCCTCCTGCCACCTACCATCTTACCCCAACTGTTCGGATTCTAAGCTGATTTCATGCGGGGAAAATACCTGATTATACAACAAGCATTAGGAAATGGCAAGTGAGTTGAAAAGAGCCTATGACTCATTCTCCTGTCCTTAAGTTCTCCAGAGTGTGGGCGAAGCCATCTCCATTGCTGAATACATACTTCACTTCATTCTCCTGCGTGTTGTCAATGAGTCCTTTAAAAAAAAAAAAAAAAAGTCTCCTTTGTTTTAAATTAGCATAAATTTTGAAGTAATTCTCAGATTCAGGCCCAAGTTTGCAAACTAAAGAAACAACCAACACTGCAG